GTGTACAACTGCTTTGCCAAGGGCAAAGCGGATGAACAAACACACCACAGGCAACAAATAACCTCACTAAAGCAGCAGATGGAAAAGAAAAGAAAAGTTCATACCACTCAAAGAATGAGTTCAAACTCCTGCATTCCAAAAACCTGCACCTTATCCCGACTTCCAGCATTACCATAGCTGGACCAGGCAACCACGCCATCGCAAGCTTTACCAGACATTTTATATATGGATAAGTATATAATATTGGCTTACTCATATCATCCCCCCCCCCCCCAAAACCCCTTTGTCACCTAGTAATGTGAACAAATACCAAGAAACACACAGTTGCTTAGTAAATGATGCTTTTGTTCATGGTCTCACCTACTGTGGAAAATGAGAAGCACCCAGGAGCAAGGAAGGACAGCATAAAGGGACTTGCTACGGAAGCGTCCTGAAGAGCAACAGAAGTGAGGTCACATCTTTTTTCAAAAATCAAAACTTAATCAAAATTTCAGTCTAATTTGTGAGCAGCTTTTAACAATTCCTTTCATCTAAACTTATAGCAAACGTGTTCTCCCCGGCGGTAGTTTCCCATGAATTCCAACAGAATGCCAGCAGCAAGCAGCTGGTAGTGACAGGGAAGGCACCAGCACTCTGCAGACCAAGTCCTACTACTCCAAGTAGTACCAGGCCACGCACAAACAAACCAGAAACCCTTCTGACTGCTACTGTCATCTTCGATTTCAGCTGCTCAGACACAACAATCATACTACAAAAAAATTCAACGGCTGAGATGTACATAATTACTAAAACCAGAAATGAACTACAATTACTAGACAGGGACAGTACACATTACAAAAAAGAAAGCAACACTACTGATTTCTACAAACTTCCTAACTTACCAGTAATACTTCATCTGCATTACCCATACAGAACGATAGCTCATTTTTGTCTTATTTAATATCGTATCTTCAGTATTACATCAGAGGGCACATACAGATCCTTCTGGGAAACAGCACTTCAATTGTAAGGAAGAATAACTCTTTTCTTACATAAAACTGAAGAGGAGGGGAGAAAAAAATTATCAAGGAGACCTAAATACTGTTCCATGGCTACTACACGCCTCCACACACCCCACAAAGTAATTTAGTTGTATGATTTCTACTGATACATAAAAGAATCTAAGGCAAAGAAGAGAAATCATTTAGCTCTTGCTTGCAATAAGATCAACTTCTTGTGTTTTTTAGCTGTGGCTTGTGAGCTCTGTTAAACACCTGGAAAAGTAAAGTTCCTTTACAGCTGCCTGTGTATGTAATTAATGCATCTGACAAGCTGTTGTGTTCCCAAACAGCTGCTTCCATTACATGGACAACTTTACCACCTGCAAAACTATTGGGTAAACTACAGTAAGTAAATATCAGGATAGCAGGTGCTAATAAATAACAAACACTGCCAAGATAACACCCTTCTGTAAGGAAAGTTTTAACTTTTCCCACTGTACTTTTCCGTACTGCTGGAGCAGACAACTTAAGATACTCGGAAACAGAGGAACCAGTGCTGTGACTCACAGGAGCAGTAAAATAAGGTTTGGGGCAAATATCTCTGAAATCACAATTAAATGCAATTAATCTCTCCTGCACTAAGCCAAAGTTAGGTCGCGTAGAAGTGAACCTGCTCACAATACACAACCAGCCACAGCTACACATATTAAATATGGTGAATGAAACAAGTTGAAAAGTGTCAGGTAAGTCTAATTTCCTACATTAACATTCAGATCTTGAACAAAATTTCCTCTTTATGCCTGTGAGTATGATATTCACTACACTTCCCACCCAACGCTGCTACTTAACCCAAAAAGCTTGTCCATGCATCCAAGACCAGATCAAAATTGGGCATTTGCCTGATCCAGCATCAAAACAAAACTGCAAATATAAATAAATAACTGTTCTAACATCCAGTATCTAGTGAACCACAAGGAAAGATGATTAATAGTCTCAGCTGAAGTTTAAAAAAAACAAAACTAAACAAGCCAGTACTTGCGCAACCGATTGTGCCAGAAAACTTACAAGTGACATCGGTAGATATGATCCACCTCCAGATTTACAAAACTGCTTAAGTTTTAGGTATATTCATATACTAGAAAAAGAGAACCAATTTGGTAGTACTATGGTTTAAAGATCTTCATGTAGTTTACAGTATTTGGAAGGTTACTGTCACTATATTCTCCAAAAAACTGGCTGAGATTATCATTTCCAAAGCAGAAATACTGGTACAAGTGGACCAACTAAAAATCTCAGCTTTTAAACAAACAGACTGTTACATAGGATGACTTTTTAAATGCTGGGTTTTTTTTGGTTTGGGTTTTTGGTGTTTCGGGGTTTTTTTTAACAATTACTATTTCAGGCCTCTAATAGTTTGTTCCATTTTAGATTTAAAAACCATGCAGCAAAGTCTGTTTTTTTAAATATATAGTACTATGTATAATGCTTTGATTATTCGCTTCTCATGAGATAACCCAGTTATTACCACCAATCTAACTTATGCTTGTCCTAAAAGCTACCACCACCAGCCTCCCCGTGGTTTAAAAATAAGCAGAATGCACTGAAACACGCAGCACAAAGCTATGTACTCATTCTCCCTGTATTTCATCAACATCCTTTTTGAACTGCACCACAGTCCCAAAACCCCGCTCCATCTATCCTCCCCTGGCAGCCGTGTGGCTATTCATGCTCTCAGTAATGCATGAACAATCAAAGAGAGTTGAAAATGCCCTTATCTCAGCTCATCAAAAATACAAGCAAGCGAGCCACAAAGGGGTCACAAATTAAAAATTAAATGCAGACAGACATAAAGTGTATTGACACATCACCACATCTAAATTCTCTCTTCGAAGCAACAGAAAACACCAGGCACACATAAAAAGAACAGAAGGCAGCCAAAAGATGTAATGAAATAACACTTATTCAAGAAGTGTATTTAGCAATGAAGAATTAAGCTGCAATATACATGAGCATCAGCAGGGTCTTCGCTGCAAATGGTAAATCCAGCAGCCAATGCCCTCAGACAGGCAACGCATCTGCTGTAGGAAACACATGCCTGCTGGTTACTGCAAACCCTAGAAAGGAGCCTAGGAAAGTTCAGGAGAACCATCAGGTAGAAAGTAGCTATTTAAATATGCTTAAAACAGTATCTTTTATTTTAGCTGTAAAACAGAAGTCAAAGACAACAAAGAAAAAAAATACTGGTTTTGTCTTGGAACATTTAACTGTGTATACGAGTGCACAGGACTTAAAGCTTTCTGCTTTCTGAAATTAGAATCCAGTGTTGCAAAAAACTGCTCTTCAAAGCTCCGTAACACCTTAAGTTAATAAAAAACTCCATTAGAACAACTCTGCCAAAGCTATTTCATTACCAGCTGAGTTTACTCCAATAATGATCTAAAGTAGTAATTAAATCACTGAAGACTTAACTGCATTACAAGTTTAGAAGTTTTCACATATAAACGTGAGACGTCTGTCTTTTTTTTTGGATGTAGCAAATGAATTATTTTTTCTTCAGTGCAAATAATCTGCTGCTAATGAGAAACACAATCAAACATGAAACATTTTCTCAGTTAATAAATCTCTAATTAAAAATCCTTCCTGTCCCCCATTTTCCAACCATACCAAACTTCAGTCAATGCTGAATTCTATTAATTTGAGAAGACATTAACACATATTCGTATCCTGAAAAAGGACTGTACAAACATTGCTGTGGTATTCATAAAAATATTACTGTAGTATTCTATTTTAAATCTGAATAATACTATTGGTTGGCTTAATATATAACAAGAATTTGCCTATGAAGTACTTCTGTAGTCTGAAAGTCTTCCTTGCTCATGCATCGCAATAAATAATTTAAAGTGGAATTGTTTCTTTTAATGTCCTAAATATTTTCAGATTTATTATTCTTGCTTACTCCTGCTGTCTTGTATAAGGCTGTTAAAAGCTACAAACTCTGGAATCTCTCACTAGTAACAATTATCACGAAATAATTGATTGATCACAGAAACGAATCCATCTTTTACATTTTGTAACAGCTCATGAGTATTTCAAAGATAATTTTAAGAAAGCTTTTAAATATGTATTCATTTAAATATTTCTATTAAAATAATAAGCATGCTCAAAAAATCCAGGATGAGAACAGGCAACTTGAAACATAATGCAATGTTTACTAATTTAGTAAAATCAGATGTGAGGGAATATTTTGGACCCACAAGTAGACTATGCTGAGAGGAGAAGCAAAGACCCTATCCGATTTCTGTCTCTAGATACAGGCAGCACACAGGCTTATGGAACTGAATTACGCTCATGAGAAAGAAGTTTCCTTCAACAACAACAAAAAAATCAATTTTTAAAAAATGTAAAAAACTACATCAACATTATCTGGCTTGTTTTTTTAAAAAAAAAAAAAACAACACATTACTTAAAATTCAATGCAATACATACAATCTGAAAACACCTGGTGTGCCAAAGCTGTTGAATATAAAGTTACTTCTGAGACCAGGTGCAATTGCTTTTTAGCAGCAGCAAATGGTATGGAATGGCATCAAGGTTTCTGATGATGACAACTTCCCAATATGTTTCCTTCCTAGAAATACTTTTGGAGGTGGCATAAGCTCTTGATTCTCTACTCTAATATCCCACTGCCCTCTGCTACAGTGTTTACTGCCAGATGCAAGAACACAACATACTTTTATATCTACATAAGACACTAAACAGCTAACATGGAAAGTATTATTCTGCTTGGGAGTTAACACCCCCTTTGAAAAATGAGAGCACACCTCAGAATTGCAGGAAAGTCTTTTCTCAATTAAAGCACTCTTTTTACCCTTAAAAGTACATTTAGGTACGTATTATGCTCCTCAACTTCATAACACACTCAGCAAGTTTGACAGTCTCAAACACTCAGAGGTCTACTGTATCCCAAATCAAACGTTCTGTAGGAATACACAACTAAACTACATTGATGTATTCTGTTACCTTATTTGACCATTTGTAGGCTTGAAGAAGCTGGCTGTAGAGAGGTGTTTTGTCCTGAACAGGATCTAAGCTCAGCAGTCCACTATTGTGCAGGGGGTGGTTTTCAGACGGTTTGCCAACTAGGTTGCTTAGACGCTCCAGTTCACTGAAAGAAAACGGAATGGCATTTTTTTAAAGTCAGGTCTACAGATACAAACATCTGAGATGTGCAATCCTCCTGCAGGGACAGCTATCATGCATGAACTCTAAATTAGTATCTATGTGAGTTTTAAATACCTACTCCATTTGATTAAAATAAAATAAAGAAATAACTTAACCACTGTCACTACCTGAACAACTTGAAGTGATCTATTAGTTGTTGAGCTTGGTGCTTCTAAGGAAAGAAAGTACAAGTCAAGAGTCTTTGTAAGACAACCTGGGAAGAGCCAAACTATGGTGGCTCCTGTTCACAAATGCTTCGAGAACCGAGGGCATCTTCTGAGCAATGCATACCCTCAGAAAGACTTTTTTACCCATCAAGAAGGCAGATGCCTGATCATTTCATTAAGGATCTAGAAATTAAAATTGTCCTCATAAATAAACAGAAGAACTGGCATTAGTCCTAAGCCTGTAGATAGTCCTGCAAAGTCTGTGATTACTCTCAGCAAGTATAGATATCCCAAGTTCTTAGGGCAAGGAAGCATCTTCTGTTTCCCATGAGCAATTTTACATTTGAGGACATGTAGAAAATACTCAACTGAAGCATAATAATGACACTTTTCCCACAAAAAAAAAAGCTCACTGTGAAATATCTATTATTGCTTCATGTCTCATTTGTCAAACAGTACATTTAACAATAATGAAAGTTAAGCAGTTTTTAAAACTTGCATTAATCAGCTGTAGAAGACAGACTGGCAACTTTCTGCAGCTATAAACGCAGTTTTTCAAGTGACACCACTAATCAGATGCCTTTCCTTTTGACTTCTGAATGTCACATCCTACTCTGAACTTCAGAACTTCCATTAGATTAAAAGCAGGATTCAGATCCACCAAAGGGTAACTTCTGAAAATCTCTGTGAAGACAAATCCCAAACATCTCAATTTGCATTTAATGAAAGTTACAAAACCAAACACCAACTATCAGGGAACTGGCAGTACCACAAATTTCTCCATTATTAATCCATCATTCCTTCAAGTTCCCATGACCTACAATTCTAAGCCTCTGGTGCTGCGAACATTGATGAATATGCTTAGCATTTCTTGACAAAAGAATACAATAAAATAAATGTGAACAGACATAACAACTAAGGATTTGTTGAACAGGGATCCCAGTCAAAGCTTTCACAACATGAGCCAAAATCCACTGACATCATTAACTTCAATCCACCTTGGAGTATTCCCTGGCTACTTGAAATCTGTGCTTCCCAGACATGTAACAGAACATTTAACACTTACATGCTACATAAATCACAATATTTTCAGGCAGTTATGTTTCAAAATAAACAAATTAAGCATACTCAAAAATATTCCAAAAAGCTATTTTACAAAGAATCATGAAAGAAATGGTCATGAAAGCAGTGACAAGCATATCCACTGATGGTGGGGAAGAGCTGGTGAAAAAGGAACTGATGAAGGCTGATAATGAAGCTACTCTCAGGTATGGCAGTGAGGACACGGACCGACTGCAAAGAATCACACAAGAACTTCACAGCACTGAAATACTGAATCATAAACTGTAAAGCAGAGGAGCGTAAAATACTACACGAGACAAGACAGGTCAGAGCCAATTGCTATCTGTTCTTGTTTGGGAACAAGATTTTGGGGTTATACCGGCCAATTCTTTGAAAAGTTACCAAGCAAGACAAGAAGGATAACCAAAGACCATCAAGTCTCCTCAACCTGAGAACAACAAAAACCAAAGGGGTACGACAGAAGTCTATAAAGCTGTATAACAAAATCATTCCTAAGATTGATTACCTACCATCTTTCCCAACAGAAGGGAAGAAGTAGGTAACAAGAGCAGAACAAACTAAAAATCAGCAAGGCCTATCAACCAACAAGAAACAACTTCTTGTTCGGAAGACTCTGAGCCCCAAGTCCCTGGAGGCCAGCAGACGTGCTGGGAAAGGGTGGTTACACACTCGCCCTGCCCCTGGACACCTCCCTGGCCATCGCTGCTGGCTCCCAGGAGGATACAACTGGGCCCAGCAGCCTTCTGGCAGGATCTACATGGACCATCAGCCGCAACAGTTTGTCCCTATTTGTGTGAAACACACCAGATTGAACCAAAGAACCTTATTTACCTACATTAACTTTCCAGCCTTACAAGTTCTGGTAATTAAATGGTCATTCTCGAAACACTCGGATGCTACTGAATAGTCAGAGCCTAAAAAATGGTTTGTTTTTTTTTTTAACAACAAAAAAAACACATAAGAAAAAACTCCCTGCAACCAAAAGCATTCACCTTGTCAATGCTATCCCACCGACAGCTTGTTTTTTAAAACAAAACCAGAACGAAAGCAGGCAAACATTACGAGCAGCACTCATCCCTTTGGAGACTCTGGAATGAAACACCACGGAGGAGGAAACACGCACAATGCCGAAAGGAATAAACCAAACCGTTTTCGCGTTTATTGGTCTAAAACTTTCTCTGGGAGGCGAAACGGCCCCG